TTATGTAATTTTTTAATTCAAATTTTTTTTATTATAATTTAATTTAAGTTCAATAACAAAGTAATTTATATTTGGTTTAATAATATAATTTTTTATAAAGATAGTAATTAATTATTTTGTTAAACTAGATAATTATTCTAATTATATTTTAAAATGAGATGTTTATCTTCTATTTGATTATGTTTATCCTCAGTTTGTTGCATGAATTGAAATATGGAACTTTAATAAGTTCTACTTATACACAATTTACTTGTAATCTTAAATTTTAAGTAATATGCATCAATACACAGTACTTCATGCATAGAAAATGGTTTTTAAGAGTTTTTGTCAAATGCTTTATAATATAATATAGATATGTACAAATCAATAATGCATATAAAATCTTTCAATTTCTATGATTTTTCTGTTATGTCAAATGTTACGTTGTATTTCGTGAACATGGTGAAATGACGAGACCTTAATATGTATCTTCACCACTTTCTACGAAGACGTTCACCTTCACAAAATATAAACGTACGTTCATATACATTATGTAAATGTTACATTTTTCACAAACGTTAACATTGGACAAAAACGTCAACACTATTGCACTGATTCACACAGTGAAACATCACTTTGTCTTTCATGTCAACGCCTGTTTCATATTGTGAAACGATATTGTGTTCTTTCGCAGTTTAAAAAAACACACTTCGGTAACAAATTCACGTGCTGTTCACATAAGTTGCACTAACACCAGAAAACAACACCTCAATCTTCAAATTGACTACACATACCATCTTATATCTTTTTCATCAAAACTTCTATAAAATTACATATTTATCAAATTAAATCGACAGTTAAGATTGGGTTGTATTGGTTGTACAAATGTAAAATGTTGTATAATAACTTACCTCTCTCTCTCTCTCTCTATATATATATATACACACACACATACACACACACACACACACACACACACACACACACATAGGGGTCTATTCAAGGGAGAACTGATTAGTTTGTGGTAATTGTAAGATCCAATCTCAACCACATATCAACGAATAAATTAGCAAATTAGTAATTTTGGTAATTTGTGTTCAAATTATAATTAGAAGACATTTTAGATATTTTTAAAAACTCCTCTCTCCTCTCACCTCTTTCCGACCTCAGATCTCCAATGAACATTATTTCAGTAATCATTGTGATACCCATTGTGGTATCACTGTGATACCAACTATGATATTAACCCAAACCTTAAAAACAAAATCAAATCCATAATCTAAATTTAAGAAATACATACCGATCATCCACGTTGTGATACTCAAAATACGTACAAGATGCAATGTGATACCCAATGTAGTACCAATTGGGGTACTACTGTGATACCACTCACACCAACCATATTACCATTGTGATACTAAACCTTGATTCTCAAAACCTTAAGCATGTACTTCTTACTTATTTAGGAATTGAAGCAGCAAGGGGTTGCAGAAGATAGATTGCAGTTGTTGGTGGATGGTACTAGTGCATTTAGGCCCGGTGTGCCAACTGCATTGGTGGGGGTAAGTGGTGTTGGTAAGACCACCCTACTGGATGTTTTAGCCGGAAGAAAAACTGGTGGACTAATAAATGGAAGCATCCATAAAAAAACCCAACTATTAGGGTAAATTCACATCAATTAGGTAAGTACGAATTGAATAATTAATGATTTGATTTGTTATAAACAAAAACAAATTGTTAAATTATCTATTTACCCTTTATTTTATTTTAGTAAATAAATTAATTATCTTAAATGATTGACTCACATTGGATCTCACGGTTATTACGAATTATTTAGTTCTAATTTGATTAGGCATATATATATATATATATATATATATATATAGATTTAATTATTTGACAACTCTAAAATTTGTGAAACCCGTGAAACTTCTACCTTAAGGCTTTGTTTAATTAACAAGATTTTTTTCTACTAAGTATAGTATTTAATATATTGATTAACATATATTTGTTTCACAATGTGTTTGTTTCATATGTTTTCGGTTCACAATGTGAAACTTTTTTACGTGTATATTTTGTTCCGCAAACATGCCAAAAAGGTTCACATTATGAACGGAATATATGTGAAACAAACACATTGTGGTTTCCAAAATTATCACAATTTCATAGTCTATATCATAGTCTTAAACGAAAAAAAGAAATCATATGAAATAGCATATAATGTACTAGTTTTCAAAATTATCACAATTTCATGGGTTCTTAAACACTACTAGAAAAAGAGGTATTAGCGACGGAAATTAGTGACAGAAATTTCCGTCACAAATTATCGACTGTTTAGCGATGAAATAAATAAAAATTAGGGAATAAATGGAATTATTTTTCAAAACCTTTTACATTGTAAGTGGTTTCATTTGATTTTCATCGTGTATGTATGATTTATGTTCTTCTCATCAAATATATCAAAGGACCCAAATTGTCAATAAACCAAAGTTGGGGGTTGTAAGTGCAAAGTTTGGTCTTTAAAAGGCGGGTGGTGCTTCTCTCCAACAACACATTGCTCTCTTCCCACACCCTCCTTCATTGCTTCCATCAAATAACACGTGAGTTTAACCTTTCCGACACCGTTTATCGACATCTTCTCCGATCAGTCGAGTTTAACCGTTACTATTTGTAGTTTATAACTTTGCTTCGTTTACGTGTGTTGTTTAATTTACGCGTATTGATTCATAGGAATCATTTTGACCGCTCATGAAAACGTAGAGCCGTTACTTTGTTCTTTAGTTTATATACTTCTCTCGATTTAATTGAGGAAGTATTATGTTTATGTACGTACTACATGTATTTATCTATACCGTCAAATGCACATTACAACAAAATTGAGTTTATAAGACACCTCCAATAGACATGATTTATAGGACTTGATTTATAAGACCAAAATATAAAGCGTTCTATCTAAAGGTGTTGTAATAAGTTTATATGACGCTTTTGGACGTCTTAACAAGTTTTTAGGACATTTTTAATACAAAAGTGTCGCATTAGCAACTTTATAGGACACTTTTGGGAAAGTGTCCTATAAACTCATTTTTTTTATAGAACCCTTGTTTTTATAGGACAATTTTTCAAATAGTGTCATATAAAGTTGCTGATGGAACGTTTTATATTAAACACAAGAGTGGTGTCTGATTGGTTTGAGCTTGACACCAAAGGTCAAAAGTACCAGGAGGTCCAGGTTCAAATACAATGAGGAGTAAAAATCCCCTTGTAGCCACGACTTCAAATGCGGTGACTCCGGGCTATCTGCAAAGTAGGTGGTTGCCCTGGGATTAGTCGGCTCGCATAGCGGGCTTGGATATCCAGGTTAATAAAAAAAAAAGTGACCTAAAAAACTTATTACAACGTCAAAAAACGTCATATAAACTTATTACAACGCCTTTTGATAGGACACTTTATTTTTTTGGTCCTATAAATTAAGTCTTATAAAGAAGTTTATTAGAACGCTTACAAATTGAGAGTGTCCTATAAACACAATTTTATTGTAGTGGCACAAACCGTCACATTGCACTAATTTACACCACAACATGGGGTTTTAAAACTTTCACAGTGCGATTTGCAGTTTGCAGTTATGTCGAAACTGCATTTTTTACAGTGCAGTTTGTGTTTTTAAATCATCAACCGCACGAACAACACATTTTATATTATTATTTCTAAAATATGTATATATATATATATATATAGTATTAATAATTAATTAATTGAATAATCAATACGTTATTGAATATCTATTAATGTTTCAGTTTTCATATAAATTTCTTTGTCATGGTTGCAGTGAAACATGGGTACCTCAATCAAAGCAAACGTGCTTGCCTTGTTCTTGTTTTATCTTCTATCACCTACTGTATTTTCCGTCTCCGATGACGGATTGATTCGAATTGGACTTAAAAAGAGGAAGGTGGACCGAATTGACCAACTTCGTGGACGTCGTGCGTATATGGAAGGAAATGCTCGAAAAGATTTCGGCTTCCGTGGTACGGTTAGGGACTCGGGCAGTGCCGTTGTTGCACTAACGAACGATAGGGATACTTCGTATTWTGGTGAGATTGGTATCGGAACTCCACCTCAGAAGTTCACAGTGATTTTCGATACCGGAAGTTCTGTTCTATGGGTGCCTTCTTCAAAGTGCTACAATTCAGTTAAGTTTCGATCTATTTACCAGTTGTTTTACTAAACTAGAGTAGCTGTTGAATTTATATACGGTTTCAATCATGTGCAGAAAGCTTGTCGTGTGCACTCAAAGTATGAGTCGAGCGATTCAAGTACCTACAAGAAAAATGGTACGGTCTCGTGTGATTGTTTATCAAGTTGTTAAAAGTGCTATTTACGAATTGTTGACGTGCCAAGTAGCATTTTGGTTAAATTGCTGCTTTATGAATATTATATTTATAAAAAGTGGATTTCGCAAGTTACTTGTGAATCGTTACTTCTTGTTTGATGGTAAAATGTTATTAATTGGTATCGTATTTCATCAAGGGACATTTGGTGCTATTCAATATGGAACCGGATCAATCACGGGTTTTTTTAGCCAAGACTCTGTCACGATCGGTGATCTTGTTGTTAAAGAGCAGGTAAACCATGAGGGCTGTGACGTAGTAGTTGAGGCTTAACAGATGTGGTGGAATATCCCATCTGCTCTGGATACAATTCTAGGCGTCCACAACAATTGTTGCCACTGGGGCTGATTTTTTACGGTCATAATTTGCCGGGATTAGTCTGGACATAGCCTAAAAATCCTTTCAGAAAAAAAAGTTAAAGAATCACTATAACAAAATCGGGTTTATAGGACACTCCCAATATACCTCTTTATAAAGTGTCCAAATTCGTCGTAATAAGTTTTTTACGACATTTTTTAATATAAAGCGTCTCATTATCAACTTTATAAAACACTATTTGAAAAATTGTCCTATAAAAACAAATGTCCTATAAAAAATTGAGTTTATAGGACACTTTCTAAAAAATGTCCTATAAAGTTGCTAATGCGACACTTTGTATTAAAGATGTCCTAAAAAACTTGTTAAGACGCCCAAAATCGTCATATAAACTTATTACAACACCTTTAAAACGGCTATCTTATATTTTGGTCCAATAAATTAATTCCTATAAAACGGTCTATTGGGACGCTTAAATTTTGGAAGTGTCATATAAACCTAATTTTGTTGAAGTGAATTGTGGTTTTGGATGTATCGTGTTCAACGTTCTCATCACGACTCTCCCTCCTTGTGATGTTTCACTTTCTTCAGGATTTTATAGAGGCAACCGATGAGGCCGACAATGTTTTCTTGCATAGGTTGTTTGACGGTATACTCGGCCTTTCATTTCAAACGATCTCCGTTCCTGTCTGGTACTTTACTCGCCTCTAGTTACCGCACTGGTTTATGTTTCATACCTTTTTTTGTGTTTTTTTGGGTAACCGTGGGTAGGGGTGCTCAAAAATCCGACCAACCCGATCAACCCAACCTAACGTGAAATAACCCAACCCGAAGCAACCTGATGTCTAATCAAGTGGTAAAATTGTCAAACCATAGGTATTGGGTTGGTATTGGTTACTATTATTTGAACCCAACCCAACATGATGAACCCGATATTCTTTTATTTTGTTGAATTTAATATGATTGATGAACCCGATATTCTTTTATTTTGTTGAATTTAATATGATTGTTAAGATTTTTCCAAACCGCAAACATTGGGTTGGGTTGTTCAAATGTCTTCAACCCGATCAACCCAAGTGGGTTAGTGAAATGGCTTGTAAACTGAGATATCTGCACATATTATAGGTACAACATGCTTAATCAAGGTCTTGTTAAAGAACGGAGGTTTTCCTTTTGGTTGAATCGCAATGTTGATGAGGAAGAAGGTGGCGAACTYGTGTTTGGTGGGCTTGACCCTAATCATTTTAGGGGTGACCACACTTATGTCCCTGTGACTTATCAGTACTATTGGCAGGTTGGTTAAAAAATGAAAATTGAGGAACACGTTGGAACCTTTCATCTGGACAATATACACATGTGCATACAGATAATTTGATAGCAATTTGCCAAGTATGCACATGTGCATAACATGCACACGAACATATAAACTAAAAAAAAAGCTTCAATTACTTATATGCAAATGTGCATACTCAATTTTTCATTCATGGGAATTTCCCCTAAATGTATCCAATGTTCTAAGTCCGCCATTGGTTGCTGAATTTTATTTGTTTTTCTTGTTTGTAGTTTGGAATCGGTGACGTTCTTATTGGAGATAAAAGTACCGGTACTTAGTGTTCCTATCTTGCCTTCTTTTTCTCGGTTACAAAAGGAATTTTACGAGTCCCGAATCGGCTAACTTGGATCATTTCATCTTTCATACATGTTGGAAGTTGGACCCTCTTCTTTCTTTAAGGCTCTTTTGGAGAATAATTTAATGGGTTTCATATATTTTCACATGGTTTCAGATTCAATATCTACTACTCAAAGGACTCGACAGTCACAGACAATTAATTTGTGCCCATCCAACCTTGGTTGAAGGGGGCATATCAGAGTGTCACATCAGCGAGACGTGGACCATTTCATTTTTATTTTATTGGAACCCTCTTATTTTTTTAAGGACACTTTTATAGAGTAATTTAACGAGGTTTTGTGGGATTTCTGATATGAGGGTTTCCATTTCAGGATTTTGCGCCCCTGGTTGTCAAGCATTTGCCGACTCTGGAACCTCTTTGTTGTCAGGTCCAACGGTAACGTCTGAAAAAATTATATGCTTCTGTATTATTTCGGATGGGTATCTTATATATGTATTGTGTGCTACCTATCATATATTACTGATCTTAGTTTCCCTTTGAGATTGGATTGAAGGTATCTGGAATTGAATTTCAATTTAGTCTCATATTTGGTCTGAAGGATTTTTCGGATTTGAAATCTCATGAAGATAGGATTTTGAAATCCCGTGTGGATGACTGGTTTTTCACGGGATTTTGAAATCCCGTAGGCTTGCGTCTTACTCAAAACGTCAAAGTCCGTTCAATTTGAAAAAGGGTATTTTATTCCTAATCGACACAATTAATTTTTCCCTGAATCAAACGTTGACTACCCCCACGTCATACCAGTATATATCAATCAGTCAAGGCCACCACTTATGGAATGCATTCCAAAGTCCACACATACAATTTCAGGGTCAAGTGACTTCTACGATTCTACTACAGAAGACTAACATCCCGTAAAAAATGTCACTTTTTTAGGCTATTGTTACTCAAATCAATCATGCAATTGGCGCTAACGGGGTCATGAACCAGCAATGCAAGACAGTGGTTAGTCGTTATGGAAGAGATATAATTGAGATGCTCCGATCTAAGGTACCTGTTATCCTTCACACCCCTGTCTTAGAGCATTTCTAGCAAATTCTTTAAAATTGAGAAAATGGAGATTTTAGGCATATTTTGCTCCAACAGACATAAGAGAGAGAAAGAGTGATATTCTCCAAATTTAGGTACAAATTATTTTGCTTATATTATTAATTTTTTAGTTTCCAAAATAGAGAATCTGTTGGAGATAAATATAAGTACTTTTGGAGATTCTGAGTTTTAGTTCTCCATTTTGGAAAATTTGTTGCAGATACTCTTATGATATATGATAAGCACATAAAATAAG